GGTTTGATCATGGAAGACTTAAAATTTTGCTTCGTACGTACAGTACATAGAAATAGTCTTCAATAAAATTTTTTATTCACAGATCCGAATCATTATGATAATGTTTGTAATTTTTTCAGTTGTAATAAATTCTTTTCAAAGAATTAGATTTGAAATAAATCTAAAAACATTAAAATTAGAGATGGAACATACACGTGAATTTGCATCAATGTACGAATTGTTTCATGCAACAAAAGGGCAGCACGAAGATAACAAAAGATAAAGAAAATTCTTAATGATATTCATGCATGTTGACAAGAGTCAACGGATTGAAAAGTAAGGGAAGAACTGGTTAGGGTTACACGCCACGTGCTACAACCCCGCACTGGGCAGAGGGCATGGGTCGGGATCAAAGTCAGTTAAATTGCATGAATCAACATGCAACCAGAAACAAACGTAATATAAAAGCCACCTACCACAATCAATATATAAAAAATAACTGAAAACAAATTGCTTCGACACCCTTTCCCACTTCGACACATTAGTCTTCGGCAAACAAATTTCTCGAAATCGAACCATGAGCAACACGGAACCAAACCCACGTGACCACAACAAGGAACTGCGCACGATCATTCAAATACATCTGCATCAGTCACAACATTAAACAATCCCAGGCCCGAAGTAAATATTGACCCCTCAGTAAAAGCATACATCTATGAGTCGATCCACTTGTCCACCACATCAGTCATCGGATCTATCAAGCAATATATCGATTCTCAATTTGATAGACAGAAACTATGGGAATGAACAGCTTCAATCGAACATCAACAACATATTAGCTCAGATGATACGAACTAGTGATCAAACCAGTAACGACACCAGCACCATAGAACCAAGCAGCAGCTCTATGCCAGTAGAATATACAACATCGCTACAACAGCCACAAAAACCAGCTAACTCAGCTAACAATTCACTGACAAACAAAGAAAAAGAAACTAAACAACCTACAGGTAAATATTCTCTAACACCAGTATTAAATGATCTTATTAAGAAGGCATCCAAGGTTACTCTTCAAGGCCAAAACACAACTATAACATCTGCAAACCCACATTTATTCAAATTGACATCACAAAAATACCTATCCTTTGATTACACAAACTTTAAGAGTATTCAAGAAATTCATGGGATTTCTAATGCTCAAGCAGCAAATGCAGAAATGAATTTGGTGAGTTATAAACTGGCCAGAGGGTCAAAAAATGATTGAAACATTGCTTTTCAAATCTAATGTTTCATCTAAACTATGGAAAGCAATTGCTTTTGGCTCATATATAAACTTTCAGAAATTTATATACAAAAACTTGCTATCTAGCATAAAAGAATTAGAAGATAAATTCATGTTACAATTAGCAGAAGGTAGTACAATCTCAATAAAAAGGTAATCACATTATACAGCATTTATAGATATTTCAAAATAGTTACTAGCTTTTAAAGCATATATGAATGCTGTTCTTGTTATTTATAAAAATAGAGAACATAACCTCAATTCATACAGAGACTATATTAGTAAATTATGCCTTAAACAGAATTTTTATGCTGTAATGTTCTATGATGAAGATCATAGAGTAACTCTGGTTACAAATCAGAATTCAATACTTCTTAACTGAGATATTGAAGTTGAAAGCAAAAATTTTGATATAACAACTACAAAAAAGTACAAACATAATATATATCAAACTATATAGTATAATATAGAATAGAATAATAGTAAAAAGATATGTATTAACAAAACTGTAGTCAATCAACTCTCTCTGTTGATTATTGTGACCAACTTTGAAGCAGAAGAAAAAACATCAAAAATACAAAACTTTTAATAAGAAACAGTACTTGAGTCCTTAAGTAAAAGAAGAGAACTTAAAGAAATATACATAGTAAAGAGAAAGAAAAAGAAAATAAAAAGAAAACAAAATCGGCAATATAAGCTGCCTTAATAACAAAAAAATGAAAACAAAAGCCTCGGAAGAATTTTTGATACAAATGAACTACAGAAAAACTCTTTTTTGACAAAAAGTGAGAATTGTACTTACTTGGTGCTATAGATCACTTCACATAACACAAACACGTGAAAAAGAGGTAAACAAACAAACGCATCACAAGAGTAGTATCACATGTCTCATAGCTAAAAATAGAAACAGAGCATACATAATTAAAACTAGATAACTCACTGGCAAAGAGGAGAAAGTTCAGGGAACTTCAAGAAAAAGACAAAGTTACTAAATAGAATGAAATATGTGAAATAGAGCGAAAGTAATAAGACTAGTAGAAGTAGTAACTAAGGAGTATGGCAAAGAGATAATAACAGAAAGCAGTAAGTCAGTAATGGGCCTTGAAGATCATATAGATAAAATAATAGCAGAGATATTAGATATAGAAAGTAGTATAGTAATAGTAGCTAGAGAGTGAAGAAAAGTAATAGAAAGAGCAGTGATGACAGAAGAAATTGACAAAGTCAAAATGGTACTAAGGCAAGAAAAGAAGGAAGTAACAACAACAGAAGACAGAACATTGACACAAGA